TCTAGAGGATTAAGATGGTGGTGGTCACACTTTTCTTTGTACAAACAGAAAACGAGCTGTCTGATACATACCTGGCTGACAGGTGTGTCACTGAGCACAGGGCGTATTAGAAATGCAAATTTCCAGCCATGATAAATTCAGTGCTGACACTGAAAATGCAAGAATACAACTTTTTCTCTTATTCTTCTACGAACAGAAGCGAGTCGATGAGAATACATTATCAGGGACAAAATTCTCTTACAGACAGTTTGAAGAAAATTGGCTTCGCTAGCTCGCTACAAGGAGGCTTTATAGCTCTCATGTCTAATCAATGAGGGTTTATTTTGCCTCCACCATAAGCATCCTCTCCATTACTCTAATCATTTAATGATAAGAACTTGGGAGAGGTAATGCATAATGGCAAGATCACAAATAAAACACGGGAGAGAAAAATGTCCCCTTCATGTTCGATTTGGATGAAACTAATTGATCAGTAACTGCTGCTCTCGCTGCATCACTTGCCTCCAGGTGAAACCACTTCCAGACACTCTCAAGTCCAGTTTTATTCCTCTTTTATTTCCAGTATATTTTGATGCTTAGTCAGAGGCTAAGTCATCAAGTCAGAGGAGTCTGCCTCATTCCAGCCGCGCCTTCCACACCTCCTCACTACTGCTCCTCCTCAGAGTCATCTCGCTGATTATTTCAATCTTGGTTGTAATGAGTGTAATGCTGCAGCGACATATTAGTCATGCAACAGGTTGCAGTGGAATGTGAGTGACAGCGTACCGACTTGTGGATCTCTACAGATGCTGCTGTGATATACATGCAAGTGTCTGTTAAAAAAGGTGTTTCCGACTCTCAGGGAGCTTAAACAGCGATCCCACCGCTCTGATAGACACGCAATGAATTTACAATTCTCTCACATCTAATCTCGCTGCTCCCTTAAGCTATGTACTCTGTTGCACTCGCAAGTGTGTTATCACTTTAGGAAGAAAATATACTACTTCACTAGCATCAGTGGAGAAGCGCTGAAATTTAAATGCACCGGCCTGAACGTACTCAAAATAGAAGCCTTAGGCTAATTTATAACAAGTAAATAGTTATTTTTTCCATAAGTGATACTGAAGAACAATCTCGTTTTCCATTACTTTTACAACACGGGGTCTCAGTGAAAGATAATTTGGTATGAAACATTAAGCGTACTCTCTTTTTCCCCCTTCATGAGTCAATAGTGTGAGACAGAGCAAATGCAAGTTAAAAAAGACACCAGCAAAGCTCTTTAAGGTGGAAAATGAACATGGCTGGGAGACACCTCGGGCATCTGCTCCATAAAACAGATCCCACTGTGCGATCCCTTGTCATGGACAGGTGAGGGGAGGCGTGAGGAGTCAGGAGGAGGGTGCAGCGGATGTGGCTTTAGAGGAGAGCAGAGCAGTGCCTCCTGCTATCACGCCGGACAAAACCGGAGCCTGAATTGGAGAGCTTCCCCTTCACCCAGGATCAACTGGGGAGTATTAATGGATTCGGAGTGGATCAACTGATGGCTATCGTATTTCGCTGTTTTGACTCAGTGTGCACTGACAACCCAACACACACATCTGCATGGGCACCAGTGTGGTGCAATGCAGATGTTTACACCCATGTCTTGGTGTGTTTCCTTTTCAAAAAAAAGAAAAAGAAAAAAAAAAAACCCCACAGATCATTTAATATCCACGTGAAGGGAACAAAGCAGTTCAACCTGCATTTACTGTAACACAGCCCAGTGGAGTGTCATACAAGTTTGTCACTTTTTTACTGAGGCACACTTTCACTTCAGGTTAAGGTGTAGAGAAATAATTAGAAGGAAGTCTGGTTTTGTCACTATCAAAAGTTGAACAAGTAAGTAAACAAACGTGCGCTGGCTTCAACCCTGTTTATTCCACAACAACACCATCTTCACGTGCTCCATATTGATAACCGACTATTGATCAGGCTCGCAGCGAGAGCTCACATTAGCCTGCTTTGTCCACACCCCCACCGCCTGCTTGATAGTCAGGCAACACTGCATATCATTTATGTAGCACCAATATCAATTAACACCGAGTCACACTCTGCTCCCCTGTGTGCTGCATGAGCAAAGACTCAGCTTTTCTTAACAAGGAAACTTAATAAGCTTGTGAAAAATATTGCATTCTTGATTTTGTTGTGTATAATAAATCCACCATTAAAAAACACACACACACACACACGAGCAAAAAAAATACAAGAAAGGTATTTTTTGTATTAACAAGCAAACTTAATTCTCTCAACAAAGTCATTTTAATTCTCACAATCAAATTAAAAGTATATATATTATACAGTCATAATAATCTAAATAATGCTGCTTATAATCATTCTACAGAAACTTGTTGATTTTCTCTACTATTTCATGAGCTCTGCAGTTTTGATTATTTCAGAAACAAACCATTCACATTTCAAACCAACAATTATTCTGTACATCACGGCCATGTGACTGCAATGAAATTACATATAATAGAAATATGATTTTAGGTTTAAGCTCAGCAGCATAATTAATTTGGAGCAACAATTCTCTCTGCAATGCAAATCATATTAAGTTGCCTACATTGTTAAAACACTGTGAAAGTGATCAAAACAATTGGTTTTAGCAGAAAAAAAGCTTTTTTAATTTTAACAAAAATCTCCTTTAAATGTGGCCAATATTGTACCACTTATTATTCAGCATTTACCAACACTAGAGGCTTTAAAAGTTCCAACAAACAAAATCAAGAAGCAACTTTAATTCTCCATAAAATTACTGATTACTTATCAAAACATAAAATGTATGGAGCAGAAATAATATTTAAATGATAATAAAGGCATCAGAACCACATCAATCCACACCTTTGTCCTTTCCAGATTATTCTGAATTTAAAAGGCCCAGTCCTTCACATAAAGTACTTTTTGGAAAGCAAACTATTACAACAAACACAACATCATAATCAGCCAGAATAATTTTTTTTTGGCCAGTAAAAACAGACATAATTTAAGCGTTAATCCAAATGCACCTATTAGCAGAAATAAGAGACATAAACAGACAACAGTCAACACAGCAGCTGAAACTACAGCAGACTCACAAAACCAAGAAATGCCAGCAGGCCTGAAGATGAGACAGAAAACTCACACAGCTTCCTAATGACAAAAGAAAAACTGGTGATTGGTTCACTGCTCCAGCCCTGTTTAACTGTGGACTCACTGCAGCTACAGGAGAATTAAAACCAAATCCATCAGAATTCATGCAGCTGTTTACATTAACATTTAAACACAGGGTTTAGAAAAACACCATAAATAAAGGAGAGATAATTTGATTATTCAGCAGCTATGAATTGCATGTTTATTTATAACAATTACGAATTTTTAAAAAAAGAAGAAAAAAAACGCCACACATTTGCATCAGCTAAACCTCCATAAATTATGACAATTAAATCCCACACTTCAGGGTCAAAATTTGCATTTCTAATCTTTAAACAATTAACACACGTGAACGTTTCTGCCATTTAAAGCTCTGAGCAGCGACCGGCAAAACTTTTTTTGGAAGGTTTTCGAAATTAAATTTAAAAAATCTCTACGTGGGAAAGCAGAAGCGTTTTTTACAACAAATAAGACGAAGTTACACCTCAGCACGTCCACTTTCCACTGAGTCTGCGTTACAAAATGAACACCTGTACGTATCACGCGCTGCGCTCACACACAGCTCGCTGATATGGCGAAGATTTCGCTTTAAGGCCTGTTTTTTTTTCCACAGGACGCACACAGGTTCCTGCAGCTGCACACGGCGCCGATTGGACACATGCAGCCACATGTATGGACATTTGCTCCATCTGATTCCGCCTATAGCCGAGCAGTGTGCAGGGCCATCATGGCAGCCATTATGAGGCTCTCCAACATTGCCATGGCCTACGTGCACATTAACTGTGGGGAGTGGCGCAGGCTTTTACACCATGTTGCGCCTTGCAGCTTGACAAAACGCCTTCAGATCGAGCCGTAAAGCGGGCAAACGACACAGCAGCTCGATCACTAGACATTTTGAACACGTAGGATTTCCTCTACAGTGTTGCACAGTAAAGAAAAGAGGAAAAAAGAGCGGAAAAAAAAGAAGCGAGGGCTGTAATGCAGGAAAGTGTAGCCTGCACTGAAGGGGGAGGACTATGCTGGAAGCGCATAAAGTATGGGTCACGTGTTTCTCCACAAGGGGCTTGAATATTTACCTTTTTGTCACGCAATGTAGTCTTTTCCCTATAGCCAAATGTATTGTTGTGAAACTGGGTGGATCTGTGCGTCGTCGAGGGAGTGGAGGCTGCGTTCTGTGCCACAAAACGAGGGACTTTGCCATGCGTTACGCACGGCTAAATACTGCTTGTTTTTCAAGTATTTTACAAAAATACACTAACAACTGATAATCTAGTGGATTTCACGGGTTTGTAAACTGCGAGCTGATGCAAAGAAAACACAAAACAGCACAGTTGGTGTGGCGATGGTGGTGGGGTGGCCTATAGGGTGGCTCACAAAACTCGCCTCGCTCGCTCACACACACACACACACACACAACGTGGCTCCTTCCATACATCCGCATGCATGCATATAGTAAGCAGAAGGGGGGCCACAGCTGATTGGTATGCAACTCATAGTGCATTGCGGTGCTACAGTCAATAATCAAACCTAACTTTATCGCCTACATGTACAGAAAACAACAACAACAACAACAACAAAAGAAGCAGCCTTGCGTGGAAAGCAGCACCATGCGTATTTTAGCCTATGTGAAAGTTTGATTGCAGCTTGCGTGATAAATTCAATTAAGACCCAGCTACTGCATGTGTGCACTTAGTGTGTCCGTGTTTTACAGTGAGGGGGGTGTTGGAGGTTTGGGGAGGTGGGGGGGACAGGCCTCGCTGCAGATCACGCGATATGGCAGCAGCCACCGTGTGTTCTGCGGATGTTGGGAGGACTAAAAAACTGCCTCTTTTGTCGCTTTCTTTCTTTTGTTTAATCACCACACAATTGCAAAAAAAAAAAAGAAAGAAAGAAAAATCCCCACCGCCAAGAAGCAACACGACGGCGGCGGCGTGGCACCAAATCACACGCAGCAGCAGCAGCAGCAGCAGCCGAGGAAAAGTGTGGGGGAAAATTCGCTTGCTATATTTCACAGCGGAAGCCTACAGGTCACACACAGGCTGCCATGGGGCACAGTATAGGCGTAGGATACAATGAGTGTGTGTGTGCATGAGAGTGAGGGTGTGTGTGTGTGTGTGTGTGTGTTAGATTGTAGGCCTACCTTAGTTTTTTGGGAACAGAGTAGTCTACCTCTATCACCTTTCCGTGTAATTCAACTTTACCTGTAGGGACGAGAATTGATAGTGTAACGTTAGCTGCGTGTCATAAAAGTAACAAAGCAAGCTGGCAGGCCTACACAACCAACACTTTGAATCACTTCACCAAGTAGGTGCGTCCCCATTCAAACAGCCAGCCCCTCCAAAAAAACGAAAAAGTCCTGTGCAACGGGGCGCGCCGTGTGCGTAAAAAAGCTCCATATGTTTACATTAATGCAACTGTGACATTGTCGTGGGTGACAATTGAGGGCATCGGTGCCAAATTAGAAACAAACAAAAAAAAATGATAAGCTTATATAGTGTTTGGGGGGGAAATGGGCAGCCATGCTTTCCACTCCCACAACCCTCACAGTGCAATGAGGGATATTTTTTTTTCTCCTCCTGTCTCCCAGTAAAGAATGCAACATCAAAAGAAGAGGTGGTTTGAGAGGAGAATGACTTGTACTCTTTCTATTGTAGGTAGGTGTTTCTTAATTCTCCGTGTTTGTGCCTCCAAGCCGAAGGTTTGGTTGGATTCTTTTTTTTTTTTTTTTTTTTTTTTGAAGCGCTCCTCGGCGAGGCTTTGAGCACGGCTTTTCGTTACTATGAGTGGCCTGGCGCAGCACGGAATTAGCGTCTCACCTCGTCCCCCCTCAGCTACCTGTTTATTAGCTCTTTCCTCTGGACCCCCGTGACCCACCTCCAAGACACCTCGTAAAAACATAGCCAGACATCAGAGGAACATGGATCTGACAAGTTTTCCGCGCTCGCTCCGCTCTGCTCTCTTCAATAAAATCAAGATAAAAAATAAGTGAAAAATAATTATGCCTACCCGAACCATCAGACCATCCCATACATTCCAGCGGGTGATTGCAAAGTAGCGCCCCTCACTATCGGAATCTCCGAAATACAGGTTATTGTGCGCGTAAATTGCGTTACGACGGCTCGTGTTTTCTTTAAGCAAACGGCCACTAAAGCCCCGAGTGTGTCCTGTGATCGATAATTTATCCAATTTTTCTTGGAGCGTGCATGACTGAGCGTTCATCTAAACTCTCATGGCACACGGATGTGATCGCAAAGAAGAAGAAGAAGAAGAAAACACAACACACACACTGTCCCGAGCAACAACAACAACAAAAAATAAAGAAATCACACAAGGAAACGGGCAATATTTCACATTTCGGACACCCTGACCTGCGTGTGTTTTTGTTGTTTTCTTTTTTAAAACCTCATCTTGCTGTTTTTTTTTCCTCTTCTCTCTCTCTCTCTCTCTTTTTGACTCGCTGTGAAATATTTTCCCCCTCTTCTCTTGTCACCAGCAGCATCACTTATCAAAAAAAATCCACACTTACCAGAAAGAATCTCTATAGCCTTTATGGCCGAGTTGTGATCGGGGAAGTCCACAAAAGCATAGCCGGATTTCAGTATGATCTGGTCGGGCACTGGAAGCTTCTTCTCCCTAAAGAGCTGCTTCAAGTCCTCGACAGTGACCGAAGGACTTAAATTCCCGACATATAGTTTGTTCATGATCTGAAAAGGGGAAAGAAAAAAAGAAATCTCGAAGGGGGTATCAGATCTTAGAGTGGCGATATTCAGAAGAAGTAGAAAAAAAATAAAAAATAAAAAAATAAAATATATAAAAAAAATATTAAATCTGCTGGGATTTTTTTTTTTTTTTAAAAACGCAGCAATCACCCCCCAGGTTATTACTAAGCTATAGGCGACCCCCCAGCACCAACTCTGGCCCTGGTCAAACTCTTTTAACAGGGACTGGGGGGGAGAGGAAAAAAAAGTGTCGTTACGACGCTACTCTGGAGCCAACAAGCGCCGCCTCTAAATAAAATCTCCCTTAAAATCACAAGAAAAAAAAAGATGTTTGGAGGTGCATGTGGGATCACCGCTGCTCTTCCAGCGTAGAAAGTGCAGCAGGGTATGAAAGTGGCATGATGATCACTGGGTACATTCAGCAAAGGGATGGGCTTAAAGGAGGCAGAGGGGTTATTTCATCAAATCATAATAAGGGCCGTGCCTTGGGTCCCTCCAGGCTGAAGGGAGTGAAAAAAAAAAAAAAAAAAAAAAGAGCTACTGTGTGGAAAATCAAGTCGTTGTCACTGTACTTGTCGACTCAAACAGTGTCACTGATCCCCACAGTTTGCCTTTTATTTATTTACGAGCCACACAGAAATATGGATTTGATTGGAGCGACACCTGTTTGAGATATCAGCCTGTAATAATCATGTAATAACAATAATAATACTTTTCATCCTGCAAGATTCGGCTGCAATTAATCATCTGATTTTTTTCAAAAATGAAAGGGATTGTTTGCAGTATAGAAAGTGAAACCTAAAAAAAAAAAAAAAACTGCCACTGTTGTACATTGTGTCCTTGCAGAAATAATAGTGAAAGTAAATATCCTGCTTATTTCCAGGAGCTTCTGCGATCATCCTCACCACTTCAGCTCACACTTTGCTATTAAAGGTGATGACATTTTCACTTGTAACCTGTGCTAATAGGGCCAAGCCCCAAAATGAAAAAAAAAAAGAGCAAATATTTATTTTTAGCTGCTGATAAGAAGAGGTGTGGGGATTCCAGCCCCTCACTTGTGCTGGGAGGAGGCAACCCTGCATGCAGTGTCACTCAACCAGTCTGAGCTCATACCACTTGGCTACTCTCATGGTATAGCAGCATTAGCAGCATCCCCTCCTCTTTTCTTTTTTTTTCTGTGCTGCTGCCGGTGATGTAGGTGTGTTTAGGAGGGAAGCACAGTTAGGTAAGCAAGGCGGAATTCAGACAAAAGCTGAAATGTCAGTGAAAGGCTGCAGCGCTCATGCATGGATGTGGAGTCTTGTACCTACACTAGGAGGAGGAGGAGGAGGAGGAGGAGGAGAAGGAGGAGCCTTGGCCTACAGCGATTGAGTGTTTCTACATGTGACTGGCCTGTGTGCCTTGGAACATTACTGCCACCCTACTGTAGTGGAGAGAGTGCCAGCAGCAGGAGTGACCATTCCTCGCCTTGTTTACGTCAGTGTGTGAACAGAGGAATGTCCAAACTGTGGCCTATTTACAAAACAGCTCTTTAGTTACTTTCCTGATGACATAACACAGTAGTTGTAGGGCCTTTCTGCTGCCGGCCGGGAAATCATCATTCAAACAAGTGACCCATTCATTTTCACCAACCAGATCATCACCATACTCAAGTCTGTGACTCCTGATATTAAATATATGGTTTACAAATTAAACCAATTGCTGGGTTTAACGTGAACGTACTCGCTTTTTGTTGCTTCCCCCCCTCCCTCCTGTATATACGTTGTGTGCAATTATGTCAGCGTGCACCCAAAAAAAAAAAAAAAAAACCCAAGTTCCACTCTGAAAGGAAAATGACCTGCGACTGGAAAGGATATGACATTTGGAGGACATGTTGCTTACACACGAAAATGTAGATTTGTGGTGGAACAGAGAAATAAATAGGCTTATGTAGTTTCCAAGGTGTGGTCACGGGTGTAACTGGTGGTTACTGGTGTCGTTTCACTGGTTTCTACGCTCCATCTGAAGGCTTTAAGACAATCTTTGGAGCATCTTATTGGAGAGTTAGCTTCAAATGTTTTAACAGCACATGCATTGTCTTAAATTCTGTAGCACTTTTTGTGTATTATATTCAGTTCTTTTACTTTTTTTCCAAGATTGAGGGTGAAATTTACTAATGGAATTAAATGATGGAAATTACAATGCGATTATCAAAAGAAATAAATGGCCACAAATAAACCTACAGTTAAAAACAGAGTAAGAAAGATCTGTTAAAAGACAATATCAGGTAAAAGAACCATTCATAAAAAAACAAAAGGAAACCGCCTCACTGGTTTCTTCACGTCCCGTCATATCCCCTGTGGGAGAAAACAGCGTTCGTGGTGGAACATGGCAAATGTTCAATCTCCTGTTGTGTTGTGCAATAAGCCAAAGTGTAAAGTCACCACAGGCAGTTGAAGCCATAGGCTCCTCTTTGTGTTCAGTGTCTTAGTCAGGAATCACAAAACGTATGCTAAAAAAAATAATAGAGAATATTTTAAATCTAGTAATCAATGCTTTGTGTTGCTGATACCTTTGTACTTTTATTTAAGGGGTTAATGCACCTCGATAATGAAGCAGAAAAACAAAGCGGTGGTTTTGAGTGTGCTGCACGCGCCGTAAATGAAATCCATTCATCTCAACTGTAACTGAAATCTCACAACGGATATTACAAAGTCTGGACAAATAAAACAAAGATGATCTGCATGTCTCGATCCCACTCCAGATAAGTGAAGAAGGTGATTTATAAAAACTAATCTGGCTGAACCAACCCTCTGAGTGAGGATACAGACGGTTTTTGCTGCTCTTTTCAAGAACTTGTTTTTTTCCCTCCTTCCACATGATGAAAACTGAATGACTACAATTAACTTACTTGACCAAGTTATGCAGATTTCCATGTGCTGTACATGCCGTGGATGCTGGAACAGGTTTGGACTCCTCTGTGACCAGCAGGGGTAGATGTTGGACTTCTGGTCCAGTTGCTGCTCGGCTGTGAAATTAACTCGAGTTCACCCAGGCTGCCGAGCTGCATTTACTCTTGGCTTAGCTCTCCTCATAAGGTTATAGAGTGCCAACAAGTCACCTTTTAACACACGCATCACTTTCAAATTAACCCGTTATACTGCAAGATTATCTCATTTGTATTAAGGTGACCTTTCTCTGCCGCTAAGTGGGCCGTGCTATGATTTAGTGACCTGTGACCTTCAACAAGGCAGCTTGGAAAACAGTAAAACGGATGACAGAGCAGCTATTTGTTTCAACTAATTACAATCAGCTACTTGACACCAGCTTTGACGTATTTGGCATAAAGGACCCGAAGTCCTTTTTTTCTGTTTCTACAGTTTCTAAAAGGAGAGAGCAGACATATGAGCTCATGCTTTGCCATCGTCTTCATTCGTTTGTAAATTTGACAGTTTAAGAAGCTTTTAAAAATCAATGCAAAGGTGCACGTTTCAGGTTATATTGTTAAAGCTGAGAAGATGTAAACTGTGTAGACGTTACCCCATTGCAACGCGATAAAATCAAGACTGCAGCATCTTCTGCTCTGCGTTACAGCAGCCTCGCGACAGCATGTTGTGGGAAGCAGACGGGCTCTAAGGAAGGACACAAATCCAGGTGGAAAAAAAAAACGGATCTCCCTTTTAATCTCGTTACAGACAAATTTTCACTCAATTTGTCTACAACAAAAAAATTAATACATTAATAAAACATTTACATTTACATTTAAAATTAACAACATGAGAGGACTGCTTCACCACTGATGTCCATGTAGTCGTACTGGTCGTGTACATGAGCGAACTGAAGTGTGACGATCACCTTAAGAACGAAAGATCTACTCTGAGGTCAACCATGTCTCTCAGAAACACTTCCTGTTTGGGATGGAAAGGGTTTTTTTGATTGACAGAAAGGGTCAATATCGACCTGTGAAACAAAACAGAGCCATTAGACCAAACTCCAACACACCGAACCCCTTTGGATGCTTCAATAATACAGCTGATCATTTCTGGGAAAGACTTACGGGGAGAACAGGAGCGCGATCTGGACCGAGACCTGTAAGCTCCTCTGTAGTACGGTGATGGAGACCGCCTTCTGAAACAAAACAGTGTTAACGGTTGTTTTTTATCTATTTTAAATCAGCTCCAGAGGAGAATCAAGCAATGAACAGGAATACGAAATACTGTGCATTATTAGCCCACTAAACCTTAAGCAGTCTGAGCGTTTCTTTTTCACATATTTACTCACTCTGAGCTCATTTTTACTGCAACATAAAGACACACTTCTCTATTGAAACAGCACAGCAATGGCTAGAAGTAGAAATGTCTTTTGTCCAAGTTATAATGACACAAATTATAAGAAAAGTTGAATTTCAATAATTACTCACATTTCACATTTTTAAAAAGATTGGAATCAACATGTGCAACATTTGTACAAGTGTGGGCAGGTGCTAAGAAAAAAGCCTAAGTCGGAAAGTCTATGAATTTTGGTTGCATGACTGTTGGTCAGACCAGAGTCAGTCGTGGCTTCTTGGTTGAGCCACAGAGTGCAGAATTTTTTTTTATTTTTATTTTTATTTTTTTTAATAGAATCTGGTGCAAACTGTGTTTTGTACCAATTTGTATCATAGATTATATTTTTGTTCAATTCCACCGGTAGGTTTTGGGGTTCAGAGGGTCAGCGAATGAATTATTAATCAGTAGAATTACTTTAGCAGATGAAGACAGTCACCTGTACGATCTGTAGTAGTCCCTGTCGTCATAGCGATCGTAGCCACCTCTGTCGTATCCGCGATCATATCCACGGTCGTAGTCACGCGAATAGCGCCGAGGACCACTGGGACCACCTCCTCCGCTACACAGAACACAATAACATCCTGAAGTTTGGCTTCATTTCCTGTTACATTAGATGTGCAGTTAACGTGTTTGTGCACAAGCACAACTCAAACAGTATCGGCATTTATTATATTGTACCTGCACACCTACCCTAAAGTCGTCGTAGCAACTGAATGACTTTGGTCCATTTTCTAATCACTAACAGTAGATTGATTATATATACAAATAAAACCATTAGCTAATCATGGGAAACCGCTTTGTTCCAGGTATATCAAAAAGACCCTCCAACAGTTCTCTCTTATCATTTATTGCTCTCTTTGATAGACTAGCTCTAAGAATAGATCTAAAACAGCCCAACCTAACTGTTCCACACAAACAGGCATTATGCTTCAGATGACTTACTACGTAGGCCGTCCCATGTAGATGCCAGGGGTTGGGGTGTGAGGTCTTTTTGTGATGGAGAAGTCAACTCTAATTCTGCGCCCATCCAGCTCCATGCCATTGGCTCGTTCCTTTGCCTGACAGTGGAAAAAAAAAACAGACAAATTACATCTGCAGACCCAGAGAATATCTTAAGAACAGGTTTAACAGGGGATTTTATTAACTCATACTCTTATACCTCTTTAGCATCATCTGTGTTCTCAAAGTAAACAAAAGCAAAGCCCCTGGAGCGCCTCGACTGCTGGTCATACACGATAGAGACGTCCGCCAGGGGGCCGTATTTAGAGAAGACTTCCCTCAGATCTCTCTCTGTGGTGTACAAACTCAAGCCAAACACTCCCAGGCAGCAGTTGGGATCTGGATTAGCCTGCAGTTTTAAAGATATTAAGCTTTTGATTTGATCATTTTCTGATGCAATCACCCATCAAAACAATCTCGTTTCCGTTTATAGACTGCACGCGCAATTAAAAATTCTGTTTTTGAACTAAGATGGATGTATTCAGACATCCCACAAGAATGCATGCAGCGCTGGCAGGTTCTTCAGAAACTAAAACCACGGAGTACTCACACGGTTGCCGATGTGCCTGCGGCGATTGGACATGGGTGAGCGACTGTGGCTTCTGCGTCGACGCTCCCCGCTGTAGGACCTGCTGCGAGATCGGCGATGATAGGACCGCGAGCGGGAGCGAGATCGGCTGTAGTGCCTGCGTGAGCCGCGGTGGGAGTGGGACCTGTAGAGACAGAAACAATACTCCGACATTCATACCGGCTCGTGACTTTCACGCCACTGTACAACTCGTCACTCACCCAGATTTCGACCTGGATCGAGACCGAGATTTGGAGTGCGAGCGCTGGGAGCCATCTTTTGAATGGGCCGAACGAGCTGGGGATCGGCTCGCTGACTTCCCAGAACCCCGCGGACTCACGCTCCTGGATGCGGAGCGAGACTCCTGAACGAACCACACACACCGAAAAATGCGTTATCAGCACCATTGAGGTGACGAGCAGAGAAATTTGCCAAAAAATATTTCCATGTAGTTAAGAATTAAGACTATCCTGTGAAGAGTGCAGTAAAGAAACAAAATTCAGGATTGTGAATTAGGAATGCAGGTTAATGCTATTCTGTGGATAGTGTGATATCAGTATGATTACATTAATCAATATAAAAGTCATCATGGTGAAAAGATAGAAATGTCAATTGCAAAAGTAAAATTGATTTAAATTAATATGTGTTGTATTCAATAACAAAGGACATGCACGCATTTGACAAACAGACCAGAAGTTTACTTAGCGCAGTGACCTTATCCAGATTACTTCCTTAACTTCATTTCTGTAACTTCATTACTTCACATTATTCTTCTTTCTTCAATTGTCTTACTTCTCACTTCTTCTTACTTCCCCCATCTCACACACTGCCCACACTTCTTCCCTCCTCATGTTTTAGCATGCATTCAACAATTCAGCTGCACACATCTGAGCTTCATATTATTGAAAATAAAGTGGACATGAGACTTCTTCCGTATTTTCTTCGTCCAACCTTAACCTTTATGAAAAAGAAAAGGATGAAGAGTATATGACTACAATTGCACGCTCTTTCAACTTAAGTCAGTGTTATTACGTTCTTATGACATGAAAGGGTCATTTTCAGACCACATTATGCAAATTGTCAGTGTTCACTTTTATAAATATTTCACTTTCAGCGGTTCTGCGTTCATTGTTATGTCCTACTGGTCACTTTCGGTTAGAGTTGCGTAAAATATCAAAGAGGTGAGCAACAATGCATAAAGGGAGGTGTGATAGTCTGGAAAACAGCTGCAAAAATGGAAAGGTAAGCACGTGAAGACATGTTCATCTGTTTTTCCACCCTGGCTGTATTTTGACTTTACGATGACAGACACCCGAGGCTGTCTGTGTCAGAAAACTGTACATATTCACAAGATGGTGTGAGCAATGCTTACATGATTACCTTTCATTTTTATAGCAGCACTTCTTCTACAACAAACATATTGTCTTACTGATGCTGTCGACGGAATTTCAGTCAAGTGACCTTTAAGGCAATACAGCGTACATCAGAACACTGAATGTGAAAAATTTATATGCAGGAAGAAATTCAATCAACAACCCCTTCATGTTCCCCCCCAAACATATCTTAAAAGTTCGCTCAAACGACCTCAAGATGCAACTGCCATTCATTTGTATTGACCTCCTGAAAACAGACCTGAAACATGGAGGACTTATTCTAAGATTGTAGCGACGCCAAGCACAGAATAACATAATTGTTGTGGCCTTGCATTGCAAAATAAACAGGTGAAAACAGGGATAATTAACATGCAATTATAACCCATATTTTAAAAGGAGTGATTATCTTGTAAGAGGCTGGTGGTTAAAAAGTTTGAAAGATTAAGTCAGCTGTGCACTGCCCCATGAAAACATGATTCTGTTGCAGGGTTCTCCTCAGACACTGTTATAAACTAATCTCTTGCAATTGGATTACAGTCGCCCTTTTTGCAAATCATGCTTATACAGGCCTATGATTCTTGCATGCATGTACAAGGCGATGCAGGCCAGATTTCAAAGTCTACAGCATATGCAAAAAGGTTTTCCTAACCAAAGCAAGCTGTCCTCAAATGTAAAAGATGGTGCAGAAACAATCCACTGACTGGGGCATTAAGCAAAGTAAGATTAGTCTTAGTCTTCATATTGACATGCAAGGGCTGAAGTTATTAATACAAATGAATGAGGAAATCTTGAGGCCGTTCGTTTTGTACTAAAAATATTTAATTCAAGTCTGTCGTTTGATTGACACATGTAGCCTCGCCCCAAAAACACTAGAGAAACCCACAGACACATTCAGGTTAATATTAGCAAACGTAGCTTCACATAATTCAGTCGAGATATTATTACACGCGGTGTCCAAATCCAGTTTAAGTATTCATTTTACATGAATACAGCTTTACATACTAATTTCTTATTGATTTGTGTCGACATAAACAAAATGCTTCTTTTGGTGTTTGCACAGATTTATACTCAAGATGAACAAGTCTGACTGCTTTCATCAGGCATTTTGCCAACGTAGCTAAAAAATAAAAAAAATAATTTAATAAAAATTAAAATAAAACAATGTTGACGAGATGGTTTTTATTGTTGGTTGGTTAAAGTTCTCGTCTGGACCCTTTGCACCTACGCCCCCTTCATACAGACAGGGCCTGGGGCCTAGCTACCACCGACCAGCTAGCGTTAGCCAGCTAGCTAATTATTATTGTTACTATTAATAACTACTCAAATTGCACGTTTACCTATTAATAAATAAATGACAACGCTCGACTGGAGAGCTGACGTAGCAACCTAAGCTAGGCTAAACAACATTAGCAAACACAATACAGACGTTACAATTTCAATTAACGACACATACGAGCACTACAGTCATGAAAACGTCACGACAAGAGCCCAGACTAATGCAATACATACCCGTCCCTTGTCGTTATCGCTCATATTTAGCGACACGCAATATATTAAAAAATAACAGATATTATGCTCGGGTGCTAACCCGGCTAAGCTAACTACGAGCTACAGTGTGTATGAGTGTGTGTGTGTGTGTGTGTGTGTAAAGGTTAGCTCCTCCCTCCGCTGCTCGCCGTGTGGATCAGACGATACATGCATCCTGCGGGCACATGGCCACACTTCACCTACTGTACACACCTTTATTGAGTGCTTTCAATAATAACTTAACGCTGATTCACGAAATGATTCCCTGCAGGCAGTTTGGCTTGAATTTTCCATTCCAGTGGCAGCACAAGAAATTTAACCGGAAATAGGACACATATTTGTTTTTTGTTTTTTTAGAAAAGTTTAGACAAATTGCAAAGAAAGCGTTTTTCAAAATAAATAAATAAAAATAAAAAATACACTAGTATTTCCAATGTGTGCATGTCAAAAAAAAAAAACAACAACATATCGGACAGTAGTATTTTTTAAATTGCAATATTCTTGACATAAATCCAATTGACCAGGGCTTTTATTTTGTAGGAATCATAATTACATCTTTTATTTCTACACCTGTTAACCATATTCAGGACTTTTGGGGTCTTTTGGACCCCAGGCCATTTGGTTTAAGTGACAGGTATTATTTTTTTATTTTTTAAGATTCAAAAAAGAGGGAAATTTGTCGTGCATTTGGAACCAAAGACACTTAAACGTCTCCGAAAATTTATTTAACATAGCATAAAAGTCTATAATGAATACCAACAAATATTTTACACATATTCTTTCTTGAGGTCCAATGGACCCTGAAAGACCTTCTACATATGGCAACATGGAAGTCCTGAGTAGGGTTAAGTGTAAAATATCATCACTGTTAAGGGATTTGTCATTTTCAGAAAAACCTGAACAGAACAGAAGTGAAATTCAGTACTACTGTTTGGTTTACCTAAATATCAGAAAACCTACAGATAATGAGGCTAAATTTCATCTTTGTAAAACATAGATATGACAAAAAAAAAGATGTGGCGTTACTGTTGCATTTTCTTTATTTGAAGTGAGCAGAAGCTGAGAGGCAGGCAGAGAATGGCACAAACTTATGGAGAGATTGGATGCAGTGATCTAAATGGCGTCAGCAGGCACTTAAAGAACAGGTCAGTCTTGTGTCTTGGTCTTCCAGTGATATTAGAGAAATGCAGCCAGGCAGGGTGTTTATTTCACCTCATGACAAATTTATGGCAGATTAGTGGATTGTCCTGAAAGGTGAATAAACATATTCTAAAAGCACAAACTAGGCTTGGTGATATTGCTGTAGCTTAGCTTAAGGTAATGTCATTCGTATTATCTATTAAAGACCAGAGCTTAAACTATTTCCCACATCTGGCAGGACTTGACAGCAGACCCAGTTACTCGTTGGTACCTATAGAGGGAAACAGAAAACATCCAGTGAGAAACTTTGGATGGTTTTTTTACAGTTGTTGTCGGTTTATGTGTAAGTTAACCTACCACAGTTATACAGGACGTTTATTTTATGAAGATCAAGAGCACTGGGTCCATCTCTCTGGCCAATGGGAATGTAAGGATCGGGTTTGGGGATTATAGTTGGTCCACCATCTTCAGAGAAGGCGTATCTGAATCAAAGATGCATAAAGTATATGGTACAGTGATGTCCCAGCATAAACATGAAAAATGTATGATGATGTTGCCTAAAAGAGCTGCTCACCGTCCATAATGCATGACCGAGCTGTAGTCATACGGGCTGTTCAGATTGTTTGTCAGCTGTTTCCTGAAGTTATGCATGTGGTCTGTCAAAACAGAACAAAAAAAAAAAATTGAGAAAAAAAATCTAGTCAGACTTTCTGATTGTAATCTACAAAATGTTAGGAGGTGATGATTCATCCCAACCTGCCATGATGTTCTTCCACACAATCGTGACATAGTGGTCTCGGTCTGAGCGGGACTGCTCGTGCACAAAGCCCAGGGCGTGCATGAGCTCGTGGGCGGCCACTCCTGACCACATGCACCCAGGAGTCTGCAGCGACAGGGTCTGGCTTCCTCCAGTCTGGCCCAGGAAGGACCAGCAGCTTTGGGGCGCAGAGCAAAACTTGTATACGTCACGATGCAGAAGCACAACATGAAAGGCCAATAAACAAGAGTCATGCTCACCCGTATCTAGGCTGGATATCAAGGAAGCTGGCTTCATGAGTGCGCGGAACGAATTTAACGCACGTTCCAGAGGAAATGTCCTCCATTCCAGTTTCTATGGTGATCCTGTCCATGTCATCTACCGTTAAAAAAGAAAAAAAAGAAGAAGAAGAAGCAAAGTTTGAATAAAAACCAAAAAAATATCCATAAGCATCACCTCCTAAGATCTGAAGCTTCATACCGTATAATGGAGACATGATATATGGCACATAAACAAATCCATCCACCGCTTTAGGCCACAGACAGGCATTGCCGGGGCAGTTTATGGCGCTCCGTACGAATGAAGTGGCGATGTCTCCCTCTCTGAATGACAGTCCTCTGGGTGCTCGCATCTCTGATGAGGAAATAAGCATTCAACGTGAGCATTTAAACACTCCAATCAGAACATTTTTAAATAAATCACAGCTTTCTTACTGCTATTGACTGCCAGGATTTGGTCCATTGCAGTAAGTTCCTCATGGTCTCGGATTTCATCTGAACACAAAAACAAAGTTAAAGTCCTGTTCTCCTGTTGTGCACAAACAGAATTATCATAAGAATGCAGGATGAAGTGCATGTAAAGGTGACTTCTTCCAAGAGCCTACCTGAGTATTTCCTTTTCAACCTCATCTTCCCCTCATATACACCAGTGGAGTTCTGTCACACAGAAGTCCATGTTAATGTATTTAAGCTGACAAAACTAAATTATTTTCTTGAGAATATCCTCTCCTTGTACTGACCTTAACAGGCAGCGTGCTCGCCTGGGCTAGCAAGCCAAACAGGACACCCAGAAGCATCACGGCAGAATGCATGGTTGTGTTTCTGGCTGGTTGACCAGTGTCAGTCCACAGCCTTCCAGTGCAAGAGCTCAGTGAACTCCACACCTCCGCTCAATCTATATACCCACTTCTCCTCCGCTGCTCTGTACTGATTGGGCCCCGATTCTATGATGAAGCATGATTAAGAGCTCTCATCATGCGGTGTGTGTAATTTACTCAAGTCCACTACTGATCCGTAACAGGTGGTCCTGATGCTGACCTTCACTCGCGCCCTGTACTTATCGCATGCCAGATTCAGCACTTTCAGCAATGAGACGCTTAAACGTGTTTTGCTGCTGGATGTGCAGCAACTCAGCTGTTGCCACCGTGAGAATAAGTGTCCACCCAGGCCGGCAGACCGGCAATTTGACACCGACTGAGCTGGCAACTGGTGATTTTGTGATATACTATCAGATGATAACTGCCTCGACAACAATCATTTGGTCACAAAGGTAAATATAGAAAAAAACAAAACCTTATCGTTTTCCAAATATCATTTCTATTTTTATCAAGGGGCCAATTTTAAAAGAGTAATGACTGTGGCCAGAATCCCATGTGTGAGCAGTTTATGAAATCTTCTCTCCATGGTTACAGCTGGTAAATTAGCACCACCACGGTTCTGTGTCTGAGTTAGAATAGAATAGAATAGAAAAATACTTTATTTATCCCAGTCTGGGAAATTACTGTGGTACAGCAGCAGCAGCAAGAAAAAACACCAATCACAACAGAAAAAGAGCTAAAGTTAAATACTATTTAAAAATTTAAAAATAAAAATAAGTGAATAAAATAAAATAAATAAAACAACTGTACAAAATGTACGGGTGCAGAGTTTTAAATGTGGACACATTCACGTCTATTCTGAGTGGTTCTACATCAACACAGGTTTTATTTACTCTTCACAATAATAAAACAGACTGACAGCTGTTTTTTCTTTATCCCCCTAGTTTAATGTGCTCTAATTCTTCTGATAACTTATTTTCATGAGAACAGAATAATTTTTATTGTCGTTATGCATATGTTACATAAACATAACGAAATTGCATTTGGAAGTCTCAGCTTCCAGCAAAAAGAAGAAAATGAAGTAATTCATGCAGTCATATGCATGTTAGTAGGATTCTATCTTATCTCTTATTGATTTATAATATTACTGTTGGCTATATGGGGCAAATAGAGACATTTAGACGTCTACTTCAAACTACAGACTGCTGTTCAAAGCAGGAAATAAATGTTTACACAACTGCATGGACACAATGAAAGCTTGAAATAATCTTTATTGAAACTGTTTCATGTCATTCAACAGCAGTTTATCATGTCGACTTTCACTCCCGCGTGTCCTCTCCTCTCAGTAATCATCCGTGTCACCTGCAGAGAAAGACAGAAAGGAATCAGACCTCTGGCGGTGAAATAAATGAAATCTGAAATAATTAGTGGAGGTGAGCTCAGGTTGTTCACCGCTGACCGCATTGATAGAGTTTGTTGATTTTCAGCTTGTCGATGTGGCTGAGAGATGATGCCTGGCCCAGCTTTATGTCCTTGCTGTTCTTAGGAATGATGGTTGGCTGTCCGTCCTGAGAGTAGGCAAACCTGAACAGATGCATGTAATAGGTTACACCATAAACACTTTAATCAAATTATTATATTCTGCTTGATCAACATATAAAGTATTACTCACTTCCCAAAGTGCATGATTGAGCCATAGTCATATGGCAGGTCCAGACTTTCAGTCCTGAATTTCTCAAAGTTCCTCAGTCGATCTGTTAGAAACAAAAAGGTAAAAATTGTTTCATTTTTGTGTTTGTTTTGTTGTTGCACTGTCATTTTTTTTGCACCACTGTACATATATTTTTTTCTGCTAGATGTGTATATTCTTGTATATATTGATCTTATCTAATGTTATTTTTATTGTTACTATTTATTTAATTTTTTTCCTTTCTATAGTTATTTTACTTGATTGTTGTTCTTTTCCTGGGGCGACACCAACAGCGGGAACCAACTTCCATGTATGTTGTGTACATACTTGGCCATCAAAGCTGATTCTGATTCTGATATGTGTAAATTTTTGTGTTTTGAAAACTGGTGCAGGAATACAGTGAAAGCCATTCTGTAATTTACAGACATCATTCCACCAAGCAAACACCCTCCCACCCCTTTGCAGTTACCTCTCCAAATGTTTGGCCACATGATGGTGACATAGTTGTCCCGGTCAAAGCGGGACTGTTCGTGCACGAAGCCCAGAGCGTGCATGAATTCATGGGCAATCACTCCAACCTGGAGGCAGTCGGGGCTCTGGAGAGACACGGTCTGTTTTCCACCACGCGCACCAAGGTAGGACCAGCACCTGGTTTAACACGCACGCACAAAAAGCACACATACCATAACTTCAAGATGTGAGCTCAGTCCAGTATAATATTACAGGATAGACTAAATGATGATCACTAAAGTTTTCTTTGTGTCAGTTACACTTATCTCTCTATGAAATCCTGCATTTTACATCTCTTGTACACAAGACAACATTTTACTATAGAAGCAAACAGACAGGCTCCAGCTCTCACCCAGACTTTGGCTGAATGTCGACGTAGTCTCTCTGGTGAGTCCGAGGGACGAACCGCACACAGGTGCCTTTCTCTATGTTCTCCATTCCTTTCTTTATCACCTTTGTCTCCAAATCAGCTGTTCATTTGTTTAGACAGGGTGGACGCAAGACAGACAATTTGTAAATCATTCAACAGAAACTTGGCAAAACATCAAAAAGAATCACATCAGTTTACACATCAAATACAGAAACAACATACTGTAGTCCTCTGAGAGTTTATATGCGATATAGACGTGTCCATCCACAGACTTGGACCAGAGGCAGCTCCGTGCGAAGCAGACTTTGCTGCGTCGACCAGAGGTAACAGCAATGTCTCCCTCTCTGAGGGTGGTGGTGCCATCTATGACTCGGGAAGCTGACACACAAGTCAGGAAAAATTAAATCATTGAAGATAGGGCAAGCAGAGCTCTTTTTTATTTTATTTTTTACAGTATGTTGTGTAAACTGCCCTGTCTGCAACATACCTTGAAACTCATTAGCTTTAATGATTTTATCCATTGCAGTTCCATCTTCAGCCTCTTCACGTGCTTAAAAAGAAGAGTTGGTTGTCATGTGTGCTGTCACTCAAGTCACTTTTACTCTAACATTCAGATTCATTTAAAATTATGTTTACCTTTATAGCCAATGGGACCCCATTTTGGGCTGAACAGAAATTTCTGCAATAAACCCACAGCAATTTCTCATCAGTTCTGTTCACGGATTTGTCAAAATCTTGCTCCAATCCCAGCATCATGCATATTTACCTGAGCGTGCACAGCTGAGACACAGGTGGAGACCATGCACAGGAGGATAATCCGCTCCATCTTTGCCAGGCAGATCTGTCTTCAGCGTTGCCATTTGACCCGCACTAACACCAAGCTTTATAGGTGTTCCCAGTCGCTGTCCCGACATAATACCCGTGATTATCTCAGGTAAATTACTGGGTTACTGTTATTTGTTTGCGAGTGAGTTTAATCCCCAAATTAGTTTGATTCTTTCACAAACAACTTCTCCAAAGGTAGCATAATGTGAGGTCTCCCCGTGTTTAATAACAGCTCCACTTCAATAACTAGCTTTAAATGAAACGGTTTTAATGTTTGGCGCACGTTTCGTACAATTTTGGGCTTTGGATGTCGTGTACATTTACCTGGAGTGCTGTTTTCTTTGCACTGAACCTGAGCTTACTCACGGTTCACATGCTAGGCTGCGCTGCTAATTTCAGATGATGCGTCACTCTCGCAAAGCTCGCGTGTAAATAACATATTTTCATGCGCGGCGCGTTATGAGAAGAGAAAATTGTATCGCCCGAACAGGGACTTGAACCCTGGACCCTCAGATTAAAAGTCTGATGCTCTACCGACTGAGCTATCCGGGCTCTGACATTCCACCCGGAAGTACCCTTTAAAAACCCGCGAAATTCAAATCCTAAACCCTCAGATGGATAAAAGATTTGAAATAAAAACCATGACCCCATTTTCTGAGAACACATTTATAACAAAAGACCAAACTTACACGGTAGGTCGACCTTAAGGTGATACTTTTAGTTAACTTTTATTTTTTTATATTGAGCTAAAAGCTGGTTTAACGTTCGTAGCTACAAAGTGCGTTAAAGTTACACGACGAAAACATTCATATAAAAAAAATAATAAAAATTGTATTTTAGCTAGCTAACATTTTGAGCGACTTTTAACGCCTTTTTTCGCAGGCTTGCTAAATGAAAGTTAATGTTGTAATTATGCTCTTTGACTTGCAGGAGCGGATTGAGGAGCTGCAGCATGCTATCCATGAAAACACCCAGAAGCTGGAGAAACTCCGGCAACAAAGACGTGCTGCTGAAGAAGAGATCACTCACATGTAACGTCAAAGTGCTCCTTCACGTACTTAGGTTAAAAACGGAGTTTTACCTCAATTTGTGTCCGTAAATTAGCTGTCATCGTTGCGTCCGACTGCCGCGCAACAGGCCT